CAAGACAGAGAGAAGCCATAACAGACTATTTAGAAGCAACTAAAGTACAAATCAAGTTTTTGGGACAAAAAAATGGAGAAAGAGAGTATGTTAGATGCATTACAGACAAAGAAGCATAGTAACACAGAATTGAAGCGGAAATTAAAAGAAAATGTTTCAGCTGCAGGACTTCAAGCAGGTCTATTGAAATTCTGTTATCCAAATTATTTATTGGAATAAAGATCTCCACATCTGCAGTTTAAACCTGCAAATGTGTGTGCCAACACAGACTTCTCAGACTGTAGTACTATTTTATGCATTTACATTTATATAATATAGCAATACAGCTGAAAACAAGTATAACCAAAAACTCCTTACATGCAAAAGTCTCAAGCATGGTACATATTTCTCTGGGGATGGGGGGAAACAGGCCAGAGGAGGGAGGAATGGAGAGAAGGAAGTTCACCTCCTGCTAAAAAGCAAATAAAATTCAACCCAGTAATAATTAAGTTCCACAAGACTCAAATGAGAAGACACAGTAAGTCTTTCCACTTCATTGTTTGTAGATTTGACGTCCGATTCACTAAAATACTAGAAAGAGCCCTAATGTATCTTTGATATTTACTTAAATTTCTGCTGAGCATTCTGGGGAAATCCCTGTATAGTCTTGCGTAAACACACTTTCCCTAGCAAACATTTTCAAATGTATAACAGTATTTCCCATTTCTTTATTGTACACAGAATACTTTATAAACTTTTACTTAGTAAATGAGCCATCGTGCATGATTTCTGCGATTTTTTTTAAAGTGTAGCAAATCAGTTAAAAAAACCAAACAACCCAGAAAACAGCCTCTTGTCTTAGTTTAGACACTTCCACTTCCTATGCTCAAATACAGCAGCCTGTTTGGAATTTCAAAAAAGCAGACACAGAAGACATTATGAAAAGAGATTTCCATTCACTCTGCAACTCCTACTGATTTTACCTAACACAGGAGACAACAGTGAAAAATGGGTTCCAAAATGTCAGAAACTGATAGTTATCATGCATAGTGATTAGTAACTACTTTACCATCTCTTCTCATAAAAGAAATTTCATGTATTAGACAGAAGCCTGTATATTATCCTAAACATACTGGCAAAATGCTTCATTACCACATATGTTTGTCAAAATTATTTTTCATCAATACAGCTGCAACTAGATTTTTAAGCGGAATTAGGCTACTTCATATGTCATGATCAATTTGGTAGTTACAGCAGATCTCTAAGAGCTCACATTCAACTGAACTGCCATGCTTATCTACACAGCATAAATTTCCAGCAAACATGAGGCAAAAATGCAAGAAAATCTCAAGATAATTTTTAGCCAGTATGTTTTAATTCAGATTTATAATTGTCTACTGACTGCTTGTAAATTACCCCACTATGTTGGTATTAGCAACAAGAGATGTAATTTTTACTAGAATCTTATTCTTACTTTCTATTAAACCCATTTTTAATCTACTTCCCAGTCACAATGTTAAAGCGAAAGGATGTCACTTCACATGTCATAAGGAACGTACCAAAGCTCAAAGACATTCTAGCTTAGACATTTCTTAGGGAGCCACCCTCCATCCTTTCACTGGACAGTGCATTAGACTTCATTAGTCTCAAGTCCTTTGAGGCCTCTTTCTCCCACTTTTTGATTTCCAGTTAGGCACTCAAATAAATAGTAAATCTGACTAACTTATTCTCTCCCTGTTGAAATGAAGTAGGTGGTAAAGAGAGGAACTGTTTAGTAGCTGAAGGGATGGACTTTTTAGAGCACCCCTGATTGTAATATCACATACAACTTCACCTGCCATGAAGCAGCAATTTTCCTATCAAAAGCAGTCCCATTTTCTTTTGCCCTTAGATGCTTGCTCCTGTCCTTACAATGATCCTTCAAACTGTGGCAGAACACAAACATGGGTATTTGTGCAACTGAATGATAAACTACACTAGAAAACTGATCTGGGTTACAAAGACCTCAGCAGCAGTAAAAATGTAGTTAGGTTTATCACAGAATAAATCTACCACCATATAGCTGAACAAAGGATTTTGCTACCCTCTCTCATGGGGTGGCATAGAAAATACAAGCTACCAGAGACACAGAGAGTAGGAACTATTTATTTGGCAGCAGTTTTGGCTTATGTCAGTTGAAAGCATATGTGAAATTGCAGCCTTGCTTCAGAACTGTGGCTAGAGTTCAAGAGTGAAGCAATTCAGGAAGAGGTAATACTAAGATTGAGTTGAACTTCAGTTTAAAATTAAAGAACTGAGGTAAATTTTCATTTTATTCTTTAAACAGTTATAACAAAATGACACTAAGGGAAATCGCATCATTCTCTCAACAAACTCACCAGTAATCAAGCAGAAGTGCAAGACCTTTTAAATGGAAAAGTATTACCCATAGCTAATTCAAAAGACAATATAGGTGTACAGAAGAGTACAGAAGGAAACAGTTTTAATCAACCAAACAGTGAAAATTCTTTCCAACAGGTTGATTATTTAATTATTGTAGGAGAAACTGGTAGTAATGCCTATGCTTAAAGTTATCCATGGCTTTCCATTACATAATCCTGTTCTAATTTGATTTTAACTTGCCAGGTAAAACTTGTCTGGGCTAAAAATCTCTCATGTAACTTGTTGGCTCAAGATGACATTCTGAAAAGCGACAGATACAACCAGTCCAACTATCTGCAAGGAATGTGGAAAAAAAGTAAGTTTACTCATGTTAAAGAAGTCTTACAGCTCAGCTCTTTCATTACAGCCTGCAGTACTTCCAAGTTCTGGAGAAGGAATTTCTTTTATGTACTCTAGAATGGTCTCCTAGGAAACAAATGGCAATTAGGCCTAAGAAAAAGGTTATAAAGTCTTAATATAAATTAGACAAGCTTTATTTCTAGTATTTATCTTAAGCTTTAAAGTTTGCCTTGAGGGTTTCTCTTAGTAGCATGTACTAACAGCTAACAAACCTGGAATTGCCAAGCAAGTTAGTCACAAAAAAGAAAGATTCCTATGGCTTCACATAGGTCATTACTGTAAAGAAAAATCAATAAAGTTATCATGAAGTAGTAAGAACACCATCACCTTCAGGCCAAAATAAGAATGTAGTCCATGAACAGCATCAAAATGAATACCATCATATTAAAATAAGCTTTTACATTAGGTCAGATTTCCATCATCAAATTAAAATAATGTTTTACTTAATAGACTAGGTAACTCAGAAAAGCTGAAATGAACTCTGGATGCTACTGAAACTGCCACTGTCATTTTGTGTCAGAGCTGAAGAATGGAAAATTGCATGTCCTCCACTTTTTAAGATATCTAGCCTAACTACACGTGGGTGTTGAACATCAAAAATGAAATTCTTATTACTTCACTTGCAAAGTGAAAACTCATTTTAGCAAGTCAAGCTTACTGACTATTAATCTAACTTAACATCTACTTGTAATTTTTAGAAGTGAGTATGAAATATGCCTGATAATTACTCTTCTAAAATCAGTACCTCACTGATCACTTCTTCAGCAATTAATCCCAGCCTTTCTTCTTTACATAACATTTCTAACAACACAAGTGTTTAGAGACCCAGATCATGATCTGATAGATCTACACAAGCACACAGAAAGATTGTCCTTACCTCAAAACTTCTGAATGCTGGATGTGTTGTATCTTAACTCCCCTGTACTTGATCTTTTTTTTAAGACAGTGCGATTAGAACTAAACATAGTATTCCCGCTGAAGTCATGCAACTTATTTACATAATGATATTATCAGATTTCCATTCAAAGAGCAATTATTACATATTTAGCATTTGTCTGCCCTTGAAGAAGACTTGTTGGTACGGTTTTCCTAGTAGCCTAGAAGTCTCACCTATACTAATATTGTTGATATGCTGATGTGTACTCTCGGTTTTAGGTTTTTTCTTCTATTGTTGACATAGCCTTTCTGATAACTTCTTGACAATCCTATCATAAAACCAATTTACAATCTAGTAACTACAAAATAATTTCATGTTAAGCCTGTTTTTATTTCTTTGGATATTTATACAACTATTATGCTAAGTGCACTGAAATTTGTCTTTCAGAGTCCTAATTTATATTGCCTCTTACCTCTCATATCTGTCCCTTCTATTTAAATAATCAAAGAATAAATTGTTTCTGCATGAGACTAAAGACATTTACACAAATTAGCAGCCTAATTCCTGAGGTACAGAAAAAGCAACATTTTTAACTATTACTGTTCATAAAAATGCCTACCAGAGGTTTCATAAGGAAAACCGCAATGAAAAATAGTAGTAAGAAGAGTTTGCTGTAGAGAGCCATTTAAATTAGTACTATTTATGTATTTAAAAACATCCCTGTCTTGATGGGAATCACTGCCTCCTACAAAACCCTAAACATGTTGGATATGCTGGTCTAGCCATTATTCTTCTGAGGTTTTCAGCTGCGTAGATTGACTGATCCAGTGTACATTGGTAAAATTTGTAACTCAGCCTGGTATAAAGAGCCAGATAGGGTACTTTCCTGCACGACCTACCTGACTAAAAATTAAACAAAGCCAATTTTAATAACTTGCAAACAAAAGGAGTTATGAATCCTAAATAAGCAATGTAAGAGTCAGCTCACAATAAGATCTGATCAGCACTACATAGGCAGATATGAGAACTCTATCCTGTAATTGCTTGTTGGGTAAGAGTTTGTCCTCAGGGAAGAATGGCCACACGTTTAATAGAAATTAACTACACTTTCTAAGGTATTACCACTATCCACATTTTATTTTGGCAGTGAAAAGTGTTAACACAGTTACCGAATATACTTATCATAAAAAACTTTGTGAACAAAGCACGATATACAGAAAAGATTAAGATTACAGTCTCCAGGTATCAACCTTATGAGGCTTCATGCAGTTACTGAACAGACAAAATCTTCACTTGACAGGCCTCAGCAAATAACTGGCATCGTTTTACACCCACACAAGAGAAAGCTTTTAATGTCACATACCGATTTCTTTTTAATGTCCTCCAGATCTTTGAGTTCATTCTCAATCTTTGTGATTAATTCCCTGAGTTCATCAAGATTAGTGCAAATAAGCTAAAAAACAAATGAACACAAACACTTGGTAATGTGGGACTTGGAAAGTGTACAATGAAGTTAAATAAAATCTTAAAGCACATGTTATTACTTAGTGCCACCATTTGATTTTTATTTTCTTATCGTATTTTAAGTGTAAAAAAATAGGACTTTTCGAAAGGAAGAAAATCTACTAAGAAAATAATTCCCTCTTCAGACACAAACCATATTTCTGCCTGAAAGCTTCCGTTTCAAACTGTAGGTATTTCCTTAAAACTTCTGTGAATGACAACTACCAAATTTGTTTCAAGTATAGTGAGGAGCTGGAACAGGTTTGCGTACCAAACAACTCTCTGGTGAACCAAAGCGTACTAGCTGTAACTAGTACTAGTTATAACATAATCACATTTGTTACAACTTTTTCCTAAACAAAACTTTATACATTATATATTCTTGAAAGATAATCTAGCCATGTCTATCAAATCTACCTATCTCTATTGTGAAAAGGAAATATATATATATATAATATGTATTGTATTGTATTGTATTAATATACCTTATAAAAACAGTTTATACATTTTTATTTTTAGAATATGGACGCTATTTTCTTAAAAAAAATCCTTAAACAGAATTAATCTGTATGTTTTGGCTTACTGTCATTTACAGCAATTAAAGACTTAATAAACTGGAAATTATTAAGCTGTTAGGTTCTTTCAGGTTATCATATGTTAAGATTTGCCTCTTTCTGTTCACCCCTAGGTGGAAATGTTTTCATTACTACTGCAACCATGTTGAAATAATTTAAGAAACTCAAATCCAAACAGAAAAACAACAAAATGTTTTTTCTCATACAACTGCTGATTTTTTTCTCCTATCAATTTATAACAATATTTTTACTTCCATTACACATGAAGTTTCAGATGTGCAGCAAATTCATATTAAAAACCTTTTGTTTCACTATTAAAAGACAAAGCTAACACTTTTAGCAAAATATATAAATTTCAGAAACCTCTAACAGGTACATGCCATTATCTTCATAATACTTGTGTACATTTGAGAACTTTGGGAAATTGAAGGGACTCAAACTAAAGTTTACAGTGTTCACATATATCAAGTTTAAAACAGCAAAGGAATAAGGAAATTGGCACTGTCTTGCTGTAGACTATGTAAAATTAACATGTAAAAGGTTTCTCTCTTAACCTAGAAAACAGTATTGCTATGTGTTACTGTACTACATGTTCAATATGCATGTCTGTCCTGCACTTAAAGAAGTTTCAAATACATAAGATTAAAACTGGAAGCCAAACACGTGCTCTTCTCCCATCCAGCCTACAAAGAAATCTATGGTACTGTATTATTATACAAAAAGGGGCAAGTCTGTCATATCAAGCCCTTGACAAAAGTCAGTAAAGGCATGGATAAAGATTTTCCCTATGGAATTGGAATACACTCTTTGACTATGTATCTGACAATTCAGTTTCTAAATTTAATCATTGCTTTTTATTTTCACTTATGAGAGATCTTTAATTCAGTGTATCAAGCATCAAAGATAAAGCCCAACTATGAACCAAAGAAAGATAATGTCTTCATTTGCTAGAAGTGGGTGAATTTCTCTCTAGGAATTCACTTCTAGAAAGGCAAGAGTTTGCAAGGAGAACAATGATTTCACTATTGTCAGTTGAACACTACACCTTTGACTTTACCCTAAAAAGCTCCTACATGTCATCAAATGACTAATGTGGCCAAACTTTTCACAGGTCCTAGTTCTATTTCTCATTGTCAGAAGTCACTTGACTCATAAGGATTCAATTTGCAAAACTGTCAGTGTACCAATCCAAACTACATCAACAGGACAAACAATGCAAATATATAAAGTTCAGTTGTCTTGGGGATGGAGGAGACAGAGAAGAGTAATCAAATCTTTAAGTCCCAATTTTCATGAGAAGAGGTGTATATCTGAGGCTAATATCTGCGTGTCAACTACCCACTGATAAAACAAAGTAGGTAACAGCAGTTCAGCTTAGAGGATTTACTATCAAAATGAGTTTACTATTTGAAATGCTCTAATAAGGCTATGAAAAGGTCCAAGAAGAAATTCATATTTCTTTATTCACAGTAGAATTTGAGATGAGGTAGTAAAGATGCATGCTGACTGCAAAGAAGCTATTTCTGAAACTTCTCTCACTTGGTTAACATCTCCCATCTTACAGAAAAAAACCCAGCAGTTTGAAGGAAAGATGAGGTACTGAGTTTGTGTGGCAAGGTTTTGGTAGCAAGGATGGTACAGGGGTGGCTTCTGCAAGAAGTTGCTAGAAGCTTGCCCTGTGTCCAATAGAGCAAATATCAGCTGGCTCCAAGACAAGACCTGATGCTGGTCAAGGCTGAGCCCATCAGTCATAGTGGTAGCATGTCTGTGATAATATATTTAGGACAGGGGAAAAAACTGCTGCAAAAAACAACAGCAGAGAGAGGAGGGAGAATATGTGAGATAAACAACTCTGCAGACACCAGGGTCAGTGAAGAAGAAGGGAGATGAGGTACTCTAGGCACTGGGGCAGAGATTCCCCTGCAGCCTGTGGTGAAGAGCATAGCGAAGCATAGTGTAGTGTATTTTGCCTGATCATTTTTATGCGGAATCTAGCTGCTATTTCTCATAATGAAACTAATGTATGTTTCAGTGTTCTTTGCTCATGGTTGTTAATTGGCTGAACTTAGCAATTCAATTTTCTGCAAACACTGCCTAAATTGTTTTGCATGTTCTAACAAGTAAGTTAACATGAAGGCAAAAAGAAGGGCATTAATGTTACAATCTAATAGTTCTGTCACACTCTGATAGCTCACTGGTAGTTTCACATACTGGTCTTGAAGAACATGCCTTCTAACCACCTATCATGAGAAAAAAGAATCTGAAGAGGAAAAAAACATGTTTCTTTTATGATTTATCAATGGTTGTGAAAGATTAGTCCCTCTTCTCTAGAGTACTACATGACAGCTTAAAGATTCAGGTTGTAAATATTTCCACTAATGTACATATCATGTAATTAATTATGTATATGCTAACTACAACACATATTTTCACATCAGGCACATTACTCACTACATATGGGCTTAATTTTCATAGGCAATAAATATCTTGCTTGACAAATGAACACAATGGAAGCTTCGAGTATTCAGTAGTCCAGTAAATTTTCAAATTCGGTGTTCAACTTTCCTGCTATGACACAATCTCAGTTCCCAGTAACCTCTCAAAAGACCCTCACTGACTCCTAGAACTTCAAGGTGGGAAGACAGGAAATATCCCCTGATTTTTGCAGGGGAAGATGAGAGGACCAAACTCTATTCAAACCTGGGATGTTCCTGTGACCCATTTCTCTGAATAAAACCAAGTCTGATCTGTGGATATATTCACAAACATAAATCCAGTGAACTCCCCCAGATCACTGATGCTTCCTTCTCACTTCCCTTAACTTCAGTCCATCTTTTAGCATAATTTTACTCACTTCAATGGTGTTTCATGCTTAACTTCAGGTTATCTGTGTAATGATTGTAAGTAATTTCAGTAATTTCAATTGTAACTTTCATTTATTATGAATTTGCTATTTTATTGCTGCCTTCTTCATGTGGAAAATGACCAGACAGCTCCCTTCTGAGATCTGTATTTAATACAGAACATAGCTGAAACTGTTAAGACACAGTTAAACAGAAAAGCTGAAGGTAACCCAATTCCTTAAAATGCATGTGTTCCTTTTTTCCTTAGTTGTAAAATATGTAGGTCTATATAGCTACATGTGTATATACATATACGAGGGGAAAGAAGGAAAGGCTAACACAAAGCACTTGTTACCAACCCTGAATGTACTTTGCAACTTGAAAAGAACCCCCAGAAATACTCATTAGTGCCCCTTCTGTACAGTAATATAATTATTGTCATTTCTTTAAAACATTAACGAGCAACAACATTAGTTTGGAACTCAGAATTTCTTTCAAAAGCAAATACACAACACCCAACTAACTACTGATCTATGAAGCTGTAAACTCACTTCTCGAATAATTTTCAAAATATTAAAACCAGGACATGTTAGTAGTGCGTTTTTATTTGTTAAAACAAATTTAATTTTCATCTGCTTTTGTTTAGGGTTTGTTTTTTTGTTTTGTTCTGTTGTTTGCAGGTTTCTTTTTAAAAGCAGTCTTGAGCTAAGAAATTAATATAAGGTCTGAAATTACATACAAGGAAGGAGTGATGTTCACTGACTTACACTTTTACCGTTTTGTCCATGATTTACAAAGTATGATAGAGAGCAGAAAGTCTGTGCAGTATGTTTCCTCAAAATGTTGTTTAAAAACAGCATTATAAATGTTATGACTAAGTAGTGCAATTATCTCCTGATTTTTTTTTGTTAATAATTGATTTTAATGTACAATTTGGGTTGCTGCACCGATTAAAAGGTTTATTAATACTCATTTTCTCAGCTTTAATGGCAAGTAATGATTTCCAGGTAAAAGATCTATATTTAAGTACAGGATCTAGTCTTGTGAAATAATGTGTGTCTTTTTTTTCCATTTGTAGCCTGCAGGCACATGAAATACCTTACAAATTCTCATTTATTTACTTTCTTTCCAAAAATAACTGATGTTTTGATATGAATAGCAATATTCTTATGGTTGCAACTTTCCTGGCATACCTTACAGGGGCTGCATACACTCAAGCTGTCTTACCACATATTTAAAAAATATACTCTAACCTTCAAACAGCTACATAATTTCATTAAGTTTGGCCGTCCATGTATGCGGAGCAGAGTATTTTGAAACATACTTTACTAGACTCTAAAAGTCTTCGCAGTATTCCAAATATAAATGTTTTAATATTTGCAAATACTTCTAACAGTTATATCAGTCCTGCCTGTCCTCTTGAAAAGGCAGGTTAAATTGTTTAAAAGTTGCCCAGTAAGATGAAACTGCTCATAATAATAGATCTTAGTTTCACCTAAAACACATATAAAGCCTAGCTTTGATCAAAAGAGCCAGAACTATTTTGTTACACTGCAATTAACATCTGGCATAGGTAAATGTAATAAATGTAATATGTAAATATGCTGTTTACCTTGGTTAGATAAAAAGTTGGATACTGTTTTTGATTAAAAAAAAATTGTTTCTAACCCAACTGTGTACCTCCATGGCAAGCAGGTAATGTGCTAGTAAAAATAAAAAATTTAGACACTACCAATTTTTTTTTAAATGCTAGGAAACATTTTAGTCACTACCATTAGATTACAAACAAAAGTCAGCGTACACTTAAATATCAGTCTTTTCTAAATATTGACTGTTACTAACTAATTCTATCATCAGAAATTCTACCAGCTTCAGCTGAAACACAATCATCATGGAATAAACTGATTCTGTGTGAGAGTTTTACAGAACAGTCAAGGTTTAATGTGGATCTATTGCTCAGAATAGCACAGATTGCTTTCTGAAAAAAAACCCAAAAATTCTAGCCAAAGGAGAACTTCAACCCAAGAAGGCAAGCATACATGAATTGTGAATTAGAACTGAAGTATTGTAACACTTCTATTACAGTACCATAAAACCACATCATCATAATTACCACTCTTTTAAGTGCTCTATGGTCTAAAGGTCACGTGTAGATAAGGGGTAAAAGCTGCAACAAGATGAGCATAAGAGCCTAAAAATTTTTTGCAAGTCCTTCAGTAAACCAAGCTAGATTTCAATTCAAGGACCAGTGTCACACCTGATACAAAATCCAAGTAGCCCACAAAATGATATCTACCTTAAAGATTCCATTAACAACTCCTAGCTTTTACAGGCTTTGTCTTGTAACAGATTTATCGGGGATCTTAAACAATATTGTGAAACTGTGTAAGTGGCACATAATAAAAAACACTAAAACATTCACTATGAAGAAAACGTGAAAGGCACTTCTAAAACCACTATCAAAGTAAACCTTTCAAACACAGAAGAAGGAAATTAATATTTGATTAGAACTTCCAAGGTGTCTATCAGAAACTAAAGGACTTATTTTACAGACATTCAGATTTCAAGTGCTTAAAACAAAAATTAAAATAATTTACCTGAAATTGTGGTATGGTAGACTTTGTGACACCTTTCCTCTTCTTTGTGACTGCTTTTTTAGATATCGATTTTTTCCCTTGTAAGATTAAAAGAGAAAAGCTTCATAATGCTGTTTGTTGTACTTCATTAGTAAAACCAAATTACATAGAGACTTGAAAGTTAAACTATAACTAACAGATGGCTGAAAGTAAGTCACGTAAACATGATGAATCAGAACTAGACTCAACAAAAGCAAACATTAAACTACAAGTATCTGTGTAGGGCATTCTTTTTTTTTAGGGGAGGGAGTAGGGAGAGGGAAAAAATAAAAAAGGAGGAAAAAAGAAAAAAAGAACAAACTCACTACACTGCCCATAACATACCACCCAAAAATTTAAGTCATAAAAGAAACATTCACACCACCCTTCTGAAAGGGGCAAAATCCAGAACGTACGCCACAAACTTGAGAATACAGCATCTTACCTGCAAGATTTGTTCTGTGACACTGTAAAGTGAACCACATATTAGGGTCTGGGACCTCTGTATCTTACAGTAAAAAATATCCTTACAGCACAAGCAGTATCTAGAAACCCCAGAACGAACATACCGAATTTATCAATGAAATCAGATTACTGATACGTTTTTTTCTGGCTGTGGCAAAACCTAACATTTTAGAAGAGAGCAAACACCTTCCTGTAATGTCCTTCACATCCAGTGTTCTGTATAAGCACATGGATGTAACTAAAAACCTCCCTGAAGGCAAGGCAAGTGCTTTACTGCCATCTACTACGACTATCAGGGTCCACAAGTCACATACATCTCCCAAATCAAGTAGTTATGTCACCAAGCCATCTACACAAGATAACATAGTTCCTTATATGGTTATTTCTATATTCACATGGTAAATTGAAACAAGCCCACCTTTGACCTGTTCATTCAGACCAAAACCGTTGCTCCAAGATTACTGCTGTGCTCACACCAAGGAGTCCAAAATAATTAAAAACCTTAAAAACACCCCAACATACAAAGTATGTGGAATTTGTTGTCAAACAGAATCACCACAGGCATTTGGTAATATCGGAAACACAGCCATATTTGACATTTATATTAATGAATATATTGGCAGGAACTGCATTTAAATTTTTCCTAACTGATGCTTGCTTATGTATGAAAATGTGTACATACATATACATACACCTATTCATAGATGCCTGGACATCTATATTTTCTGTTTACTACATTAGCCTATATTCAGTATATTACACTAAGAGTTTCGTGAACCTGAAATAAAACACACTTAAACAGAGGGCACAGGGCTCAAAATACCTAATTTGAAACTCCACATAAAATCAAGCTATATAAAAATTAATAAATCAGTTCTGTTTTGAAACTCCATATACTGAAAAAAGAACAAAATTTAAAGAGCCCTCAACTACCAAAAATAACCACTCACAAATGTCACATTACAGAACAAGGAATAAAACAGAGAAGAGTATTTATTAGAACAATGACCCAGACTATTTGTCAATGGGCATAAAAGTCAGCATTTTTATTATATATTTTATGAATTCATTTGCATTGAAAACATAATGCTACTACTGGGAATAGTGTTGTCTATTTAATAAACTAAAGTAGACATCATTAATATAAGCTTTCTTGACTCAAACTGACTCAAAAAGAAGTCTGGTCATATGGTGGTTCCTCGTTATAGCCCTGTAAAAGAATGTTATCGGGCAATAACATAAGGGGGTAAAACCATGGGGCAGCTAGACTGTCTTGTTTCTCTACAAAAACAAAGATCTGAATGCGATTAAAATGAAAACTTTCATTTTATTTGAATAATTTCAGCATACTTTTCAGCAAACATTTACTTGAATATTTTCAGCATCAGGTGCTGTATGGTACAGTGTACTTCAAAAAAATAACAGAGTTAACAGAAATATTTCCTTCTGAAACTGGGGGAAAAATAGTTAGAAAGAATTGTAATTCATCAGTAAAAAAAAAAAGAAGTATTTCTTCCTTTGCAGCATCATCTGAAAAAGCATGCAGTAGAGAAGATAAGGGGTAACAGACAGAACAAGAATTTAAAAAAACTGACTAGAAGCACATGGAAAATGAGCCTCACCGTCTGTGTAAACTGAACTAAGGAAAAAACCAAAGTCTCTGAAAATAGACTATGACATATGGGTTATCATAAAGCATACCTACTAGATTATATGTACCGTAAGACTTACACAATTCCCAGGGTGACATCCACCATGACCTAAGACTATATCTGTACTAAGCAGCTCCACAATCTCTTTCCCACTTAGTGACTATGCACACCAGATGTCCTATGGAGTAGGCACGTATCACATACCAAAAAAAAAAAAGAAAATATTACAGATATTTGCACAATGGGAAAGAATTAATATATATAGCAAACTAACTTCGGCAAACTCATATTCTACCTTAACAGCACCCTTATAAAATCCCAAATTGAAATTCAAAAGAAGTTATAGCATAAGTACTATCTCTCTCTTTTTAAAAAAAAACTTCTCTGGTTTTCCAAAAATAGTATTGCTCATTTCTCATATTTTAAAAGAAAAATTTTCTTTAATAGTTTTTCAAGGGAAAAACCCAAAAGATTATAAAGGAAAACTTCTATTTAATATTCCTGAATGCAGCTGCACTTGTCTCCAGTTTCCAAACTGACTTTAGTATCTAGAAATATTCCAATTCACTTACCTTTAAGTGGAAAAACTTCTAGATAAAATTAACCAAGAATGAGATTTCCACGATAAAAAACTATTGAGATCTGCTAGTTTAGGTTCTCCTACCACAAGCTGACACATTCAGCAAAAACAACAGCAATGGCAAGGGACGTCAGCCTCTGCCAGCCACCTGCTACTGGACCTGTCGCAGACAGCACAACCACACACTTCAGCCGTGCCACTACAGAGCAGTCCCTCAGCTTCAGCTGCCAGGCTGAGGTGGGTGTAGATTCTGTGGGGAGGGCAAAGTCACCAAGAGTTGAACATGCATCAAGTCTAAGTATCACACCCCTCCACTGAGGTCTGCTAGAGCTTCTTTACCCATAATCCTAATAAAAAGGCTATTTAAAATGGCTTAAATAACTTACTTCTGCAGATGAAGTAATGTTTCCGAGAACGGCTAGATGCATTTTGAATCACAGCATACCGTACCTTTCAGAGAATACTCAATGTACAAATATATTAAATTGCTGACTGAAAGCAATCAGAGTTAGAAAAACACAGCTAAGAAATAACGAATTAAAAATATTCTAATAAGGAAGCTCATACTATCTCTTCAGGTCACCTAATACAATTCAGCACATCTTGCTTGCTTCTCAACTCTTGGTCCCCAGCTTTTGCAAGTCTTAATTTATAAACTACCTAACAAGAATTCTACACATAGACAAAATAATAAAGTAATTTTAGTTCAAAAATTATCAGAGGGGGAAGGGAGAACAGTGGCTTAATAAACAGACTTCCATCTTTAGAGGTCTTCAATTCACAGCTGACCTGATCTGGTATTTGTGAGAGTCCTGCTTCAAACAAGGGCTCGGACTAGGTGACCTCCAGATGTTACTTCCAACGATCTTTTCCATGGCTCTGTGACTCTTAGAAACTGCCTTGCACAGTGCAAGTGCATTAGTAACAAATACATAGGAATCAATAACTCAGGACTGCACTGCACAGAAGGAAGATAAATCAGATAATGTTTTTGTTGAAAAAAATTATTTACAATTTTCCCTAATCATGTAAAAATGAAATGAGAAAACCACTCTCGATCAAAACGGATTTGGAGTTTCCCAAACTAAAACAAAAAGTTCAATGAAAATAAAAATATTGAAATAGTTGAAGAGACTTTCTCCTTCAATAGCTGCAACTACATAAAAGCTGTTGTTAACCCTACCATCTTGAGACACTAACAGCAGCTTCCCTATCCAGCAACAGCTACAACACCAAAATATTTTTTGTGGAGTCAAGAAATACTTACTTGGACAAGTATTTGATAAGTGTTTATAAATATGGGTAAATAAATATTGGTTTATTCTTATTCCTGTTGCCACAGTAGGGCAATACTTCTAGTAAAGATTAAAGTTTTACTTCTTTTTGATGTAAGGATCAATTCCAAATATAGTTAAAACTTTTTTTGGGGGCTTACAAGAAAGCTGGAGAGGGACTGTTTACAAGAGCGTGCAGTGACAGGACAAGGGGGAATGGTTTTAAACTAGAGCAGGGTAGATTTACATTAGACATTAGGAAAAAGTTCTTCAACACGAGGGTGGTAGATCACTGGAACAGGCTGCCCAGAGAGGCGGTGGAGGCCCCATCCCTGGAGACATCAAAGGCCACACTTGATGGAGCTCAGAGCAGTTTGATCTAGTTAAAGGTGTCCCTGCTCACTGCAGGGGGGTTGGACTAGATAAGCTTTGAAGGACCCTTTCAACCCAACACATTCTATGATTTCTGTGTAACCCTAAATTCATCCACTAACATGATTTCACTGTGTCACAATTAATAACTATGACTCCACACTGCCTTTTCCAATAGGCTGCACATCTCAGTTGGGTTTCAGTTCAGAGGGGAAGAGACTGAGACAACTATGAGGCCAACTGTATGAGCTTCAACAAGGC